GGCGGTGGGTGGCGGCGGCCGCATGAATCACCCCCCGCGGGACGGCCGCCGCCTCTGCCTGGGCCCCAAGGTGCGCTGGGCCAGGCGGGGTCTAGAGAGCACTCGGGGCGCTTTGCCGACCGGTCTGTGCTCACGTGGTGGCCGCGGGGAGCCCCTCGTGGGCTTGGGGCTCCCTCTGTGGGCGCCCACCTCCCGGCGCCAAGTCCCATGCCGGGCACCGGGCAGCCGGGTCTGGGGCGCCACTCCACGCTCCCCACGTATTCGGGAGCACCCGGGAAAGAGGCCTGAGGGGAGAGGCCAGTGGGCCCAGGGGCGGCCAGCCGCTGACCACACTGACGGCTGGGGCCTGTGCAGCCCGGTGTGGTGGACGGGCAGGGCGTGTGGCCCGGCGACACGCTGCCAGGCAGAGCCGCTGCCACAGGGAACACACGTGGCTCTGGCCACAGCCCACTGCTGTCCCACGGCCCCCAGCTCGTCTGGGGGCCCATGGCTGCACCCCTAGGCCTGCCTGTGGGAGCTGTGGCCCCGAGCAGCGCCGGTGGGCAGTTGGAGGACTCTGGTCTGTCCTCGGGGCAGGGCCATGGCCCTGCAGCCCGCAGCCACGCTTCTGCGCAAGCCACGTGGGCGCGGACCAGGGACCCCGAGGCTGCGGTCCAGGCCTGCCGGCCGGCGGCCACACACTGTCCTCCGTGTGGCCCAGGTCTCCTGCTTGTGTAAGGCGCAAGCTTCTCTCCTGCTCTGGGTAAAGTGGTCATCGCGGACAAGGGCACTTTCGAAGGCGCCTTCTCCTTAACATTAATTTGGTTACTTCAAACGGGAAGACGACTTCGCCCGCCGCCCCGCCTGCGCCCCGGCCCCGTGGGCTTCTTCAGAACCAGCCCCGGTCCACGGCTGGGGTCGTAACGAACTTCAGCTGCGGGGGGGTGGACAGGCCAGGGTGTCCCCCCGGGCAGCGCCTGGAAGCACGCCCTTCAGTTAACTTCGGCCTGGCAGGGGTTTTCTGTTGGGCTGGGGGCAGCTTTGTCCCGCCTGGGGCTGTGCAGCTGAGGCCGCTGTGGGCAGGGCGTGGTGGGGCTCC